TATTTTGTCATATCTTGCCCTGTCCGACGTCTCCCTTCACCCACTTTTCGGTTGTCTGTCCCCCAGGGAGGAGGTCACACACAGTTCCCTGTAATCGGTTCTTTTTTCGGATTTCAAATGCCTTTTTAAATATATACAAATCATTTTATTGGGGCTCTTCCAGCTCTTCTATCGATCCATATATCCATTGGGTCACGCACATTCGCCCATACGTTGCCATCATCCTTTTCAAAACCGTGTCTTTCTACTTGAGCCCTTGGTATGAGCTCCTCTTGTTTGCCCTCCCTCCCCCAACAGTCTTTAAAGCTGCTTACTTTATCTGGGCAGTTCTTGCTCAGCATAAGTGGAAAGATTCGCTGCTGTAAATACTGTGCCTTTGACCTGTTGCTCCCGTCACAGCCGTACATGAAGATGTTCTCCTTCCTGCTGTGCCCATGCAGGTCACAGTACAGGATCACCTCCCGCTTCTCCATCAATCTGCCAAGAAGAAAAAGAATAGGCCTCTAAGTTTCCCCCTCTGCCTTTTCCTCCTATAAGTGCAGCGATGCCTTTACAGGTTTAAATAGCCAAGGAAAGGGGGTTTCTTAATTCTAGCTCTCCATCTCTCTCTCTGCTCATCTTTTCATATTACTACTAATATACATTTTAAAAATTCTGCAGTACATTCCTACTGACTAGAGGTAAAGCCGAAAGGCCCTAGCCTCCCATGACCAGACTCCAAGGATGTTCGTAACCGTATTCCAAGACTCTGCAAGGTTCCTTCTGTCCCGTTATCTGGCCACGTTGGTCTTTGCCTCCTACAGAGATTCTACTTTTTCCTAGAACATCTACCTTCTCTTCCTGCCTGAGTCTGCAGACTACGCCCCGAGCTCCATCCATCCTTCAAGACTGACCTCCAGTCTCCCTTCCTCTCTCATTAGTCAAGCCCAGAGGGTTTATTCAGTTGTTTCTTTTTCTGACAACTCGGTCAGAAAACACCACCACCACCCCTAATCATCACATTCACCACTACCAATATCACCACCATCACTGAGTTGATTCCAACTCACAGAGACCCTATGGGACAGAGGAGAACGGCGCCTATGGGCTTCTGAGACTAGCCTTTTTTAAGGGAGAAGAAAGCCTCATTTTTCAAGAATGGGATATCTGGTGGATTTGAACTGTTGCTCTTGTGGTTAGCAGTCCAGCTCATAACCCACTCTGCCACCAGAGTTCTTCATAGCATGTAATAGTGGTTTTATTTTGAGAGGAGCACCGGTGGCACAGTGGGTTACTCGTTGAGCCGCTAACCACGAGGTCAGCAGTTCTAAACCATCAATAGCTCCTCAGGAGACAGAAGAGGTTTTCTACTCCAGTAAAGATCTACATTTGGGGAGAAGGGGGACATAGGGGGAACCAATCACAACGATTGATAACAACCACAACAGAACAACAGAAA